CCCCCCCACCCATACATTTATTCTGAATATGCCCCTAGGCCTGAGCTATGTTGGGACTGGGAAGGCAACGGGGGGTGGTATGGAGGAAGGGTTTTACGCACCCTCCCCCCTTTCTCCCCCAAAAAAATAAGTAAACCCTTTGATATCAGAAGAAGTCTCGCTGACGAATGATATCCATTTGTAAAACATCGTCCTTATTTTTTTACCTAATATTGCTATAGCCAAAACCATTCGTTTCTTAGAACACTGCTCAATCATTGTTTGTTTTTCTTTATTAGAACATTCTGAAAAGAATAACAATCGATCAGGACGCATCTGGTAAAAAATCATCAAGGAAATTACACAAAATTTTGATACAGAGTGATAAGCTTCAAGGATTTGTGCAATTATACAGAGTTGGATCACAAGCAACAAGAAAACATAGAGATCCCACAAATAAAACATCATTTAGTACTCATCATTAGATTTCTTTCTAATCAATCAATTACTAATATCAGACTGGAAAAGAAAGGAAAGGGAGGGAGGTTAATAAATGGACATTACACGAGTCTTCAGGCAGGGGGCGTGGCTAGCAGAAGAGAAGAAATTCGAGGCCCCATGGTTATAAGGTGTGGCATGACGGCCGGGGAAAATGGTTGGAAGGTGGAGCAGGAAGGAAGAAAGGTGGAGGGGGGGGGGGGGGCTCAAAGGTGGAACGGAAAGGGTGATGGGGGTGGCGAAGGAAAGCAGAGTGAGCGTTATTGAAGAACCAGCCCAATATCTTCAGGTTTCATCTCTGGACATTTCCAATTGTATAAATAGTACTGAAGGTTTCCATCTCCAATACCAAACTTTAGCTTCTCCAGGAACTCACTAAAATATGGATATATTTACTGCACGGATCTAAGAGGAGGACGGGGGTAATGAAAAAGTTAAACGTTACCTAGCAATTTCCTATTTTCATACTTTTTACAACAAAAAAATAGTTTTCATTGATTCATTGACTTGTGTCCTAAATAAGTTTTGCCACTAAGCGCAATCATAACTTACACACTGGAGAAAACTTTAAGCTGGTGGGGGAGGGGGCGATAAAATATATATTCCATTGACATTAGACTCCTTCTAGCTACGGAAAGTATCTGGCCGGAGCCAGACATAAAAATAATTTATTTGTGACAATTTTATCTAATCTTATCCGACGGATGGAATTTGACCTCGCTGCCTGTAACATAATTTTGCTTTCTACGTGCCTCTTAACTTTTAAATCTATATCTCTGATAAACTAAAAACAAATCTAAATTGTAAGTTGAGACTAGCAGCACCTGTTGTTCATGAGATCAAGAGCATTAAAAACATCAAAATCATCTTTCTTCGCGAGTATGAGGGCGTCTCCCATCAAGTCCAGCCAAGGGGTGTGAGTAGACACGTTGTAGAAGGAGTAGGCCGCCTAGATATACAACATTATAAGGATATTTTACAGAATTTACCAGAAATATTCTTGGACTAAAAAAAAATACTCAAATACTTGAATTCAAGAAAATACGAAAGTCTATACAATTTGATTGTTTTGCCTTATTAAGTAATATTCAAGACAAATTCTAATTCTCTAATCCTGATATTTCTTAAACTTGAACAAAAGTTTTAAATTAGGTTGCAAACCTAAAGAATAAGAAAATTATAGTTTGCGGCATGTGTTCAGTTCCTTGATTTGATTACCTTAATATTCTGATGTACTGGATGGTTCATGACTGTTGACGGAAGGCAGTAGAAAGATAAAAAGTCGGTTATTTTACCCTCAGTTTCAACTACGTAGCTGTTTATGATGTTGTTCTAAAACCACATTTAATATAGTTGGACAGCAATATATAGGACTGTTCTTGAAGTTTAGAAAGGTTGTCGACGTAATTTTAGTTGACTCACTATTTCAAAAAGTTACGTGTCCGAACTCTTTTCACATTTGTTTTCTTAAAACATTCGTCTGAACTAAACTTATGAAGATGACCCGGTTTTTTTGGCAGCTCAGATAAAAGTGTCAATGGCACCAATGTGAATCGGTCAAGTAACTCTTTAATTGGAGGATTAGTTAAAATTACGTTTACTGTCCCTTTTCTCGTAAATATGGAATGGTGAATTTATCCAGAGATCTATTTAAATACGTTATTAAAGGAACAAATTTACAACGGATCTAAACAAAGTTCTCAGTTTGTGATGAATCACTAGGGTGATTCATAATTCTTGAGTACTTAAACTCACCTTCGGCATAAACCAATGTTCAACCTCTGATTCGGAGAAGATCGGAGCTAGGTTGAACCTGAACCATTAATATTAATGAATTACAAGATTATTGATATTCAGGATCTAGTGATAGGAAAAGGCTTGGGTCGTTTTTGAGGTTTTTGGACTTCCAAGCTATGCCCCATCACTATCCGTCACAGATTGGGAGGATAAATAAGTGATTAATTATTTGTTGAATAAATGAATGTAGAATGAATAAACATATATTCAGATAAACTGACCGGCCCAGATATTGATTGAGTAACTCTGTGACATCCTTTACGTCCTTAACTTGAAACAGTCTCAGCCCTACAACCTGGAATATAAGTAGATTAGGAAGGCGTTTTATAACATAATAATAATAATAATAATTGTATATCATGCGTAGGAGGAAAGTGTAATAATCGAAATATTGTTTTAATTCTGAATTAGTCACAAAAAATGACTTTACGTCATAAAAAATCATCTTAAACTGTTCTATATTTTTCACTTTCTAATCTTTGATCGTTATTCGTTATGTTCAATTTTCAACATCTAAATAATCTGAGCTGAGCTGGGAACTTTTGAATCGTGGATATCGGGATTAATGCTTAATCTCCTCTTTTCTTAATCTCCAGATGAAATAATGCTTGTACTCCCCTTGTTATTAATATCCAGATTAATTAACCTATCGGGATTAATTAGTTTTAAGAATATGTATGACAAACATATTTCTTCAATGTGATAGGTGTCAGGGGCGCCGAGATCCCTGGTTTAACTTAATGCACTATCAGTAGAAACAAAAAAGATATATTGACTTGCTGAAAATGTCACGAAAGTGATCTCCCTGTGAACAAATTTCCAGAAATCCAGTAATCCAGTAATCCAGTAAGGATATCCCATTCTAAAGTTTCCAGCTCTGTGTTGGATACCCTTAATCCTGATATCTAAATCTCTGTATCCACTATCGACACTTATGATTTTATGCTTAATCCTCCCTTTCTGATTTCACTGATTGATTGTGCAACATTTTAAAATTTCTGGGCTTCTGGTTGGCTTTACGGATTCTGCAATCAACACTTTGATTGGTTGAATTTTATACACTTTCCAGAATAATATTAAATATTAAATTAATCTTGATATTAATAAATAAACGATCAAGCATTGGTCTCGATATCCACAATTCTAAAGTTTTCAGTTCAGAGTCCAAATTTAAAGAATTTGAGCCGCGTCTCAAATCCGCCAAAAACCGGTTTCAATTAATTAAGCGCCGGCTTTAATCTTGAAACATTGAATACAATTTTAAGTGGAACCAACCTTATTTTAGACGCGGCGTCTCAAATTTAAGCTGCGGCTCAATTCTTAAAATTTGGCCTCAGATCAGTTTTAAAACTAGTATTTTAGTACGCCATAGGTTGTTTTTACTTTTTAATCAACCCCCTTTTTTATTGGTCCAAACATTATCACACTGATGCAAAATTCCATTTTGTGAATTAGGTTGAATTGAATTTATTGTTTTCAGTATACAGTACACCCGTAGATATAAAATAACACAAACCTTAGTTTCCTCGGGAAGTTTGTACAGCTTTAAATGCCGCTGCATTGTCATATTCCTAAATATATGACAATTATAGTATATTATGCGTAGGAAGAAAGTGTAATAATCAAAATTATTGTTATAATATTAAACGAAAAACCGTGGAATAATTTTGATTATTACACTTTCTTCCTACGCATAATATACTAATAATGTTATCTTCAGAAATAATAGACACATTTTATTTTTTGTACAAACTGATTCGTGTTTTTTTTTCGCCACTCAGGACTAGTAGCAGTTATAAGGATTAAAAAATCGGAGTTGGTGGCAAAGACCCAATGCAAAATTTCAGCCTTCTATCTCAATTATTAGAATCAAACGCAGCCTGTACAAAATTTGGCGTCACAAAGTGTCGAATTGCCCCCCCCCCCCCTTATATCAACTCCAAGGGAAGTTTTGAAAATCAATTCATTCTTACAAAAAGTCCATACAACCCGCACAAGTACACCAAAATAAAACTGAACCCTGGATAAGTGAATTATCTAACCTTGAGAGATGACTAAATTTAACCTCTATCAACTTCTTAGGATTCAAAGATCTATGCCAGTACCTATATACGATATAACAATAACATAATCGAAATAAATAAACTCGAAAAATTTGGTTTTGCAACATTAAGGGATTTGCAACGTTAATTAAAGTGATACTACCAACAGTTAAATAAAAATTTAATATATTTTGGATTATTTCAGAATAGAATGCGGTTTTCTGACACAGAACTGGCGGAATTTTTAAATCTAAGACAAGCGACTTTTTTATTAGTTTTGGGATTATTAAGCAAAGTAACACGTTAAAGGTACATTTATAAGTGTAAGGAGTAAGATCCTTTCAAGTTTTGATAAAATGTGTATAAACAAGATATATTACCTACAGGTTCCAACAGGTTTAGGTAGAACAACCCCTGCAGTATACACTGCTTGGAAAATACCTAAGCATTCATAAATTGACATTTGCCGGTAGAACCAACTCTTGTCAAATTTAAGATACGCAATTTTGTAAGTTAAATTGAATAATTTGAACAAAGATGTTCTCGCAGAAATGTTTAAAATTGTTTGATAATTTAAGAAATGGGTTGGCGATGTTTTTTTGTTGTAAATGAAAAAAACAACTTTCTAATGAAATTTAGACAAAGATAGATGAAGTAGATAAATGGAAATCTTCAGTTTTCAGGTTTTCAGATCGAGTTGGAAATGTGCGTGTTTTTTTGGTTGAAAATTAGTTAAAAACAGTTTCTAGAGGAAATTTTATAGGGGAAAAAACTAGTAGAACCAAGGTTGTAAAGCAAGGTTAGATTCTCTAGATGCACTTCAATGTACTATAAATATCGTCTTCATAGGACTGGACACTCAACACTTCATATGACGTAACTGATTTTTGCCGGAAATTGAAGTAACAACGTTGCTGGTGAGAGGGGGGGGGGGATTTGCTGAAAAAAGTGCATCCAGAGTATCTAACCTAAACCTTACTATACAACCTTGAAACTGAGTTTGATTACATTACTCCCAAGAAAACTGCAGTACACTTTTTTTGAAAAATAAGATACCTTCGTTGAAGAATGAAGAAAGGGATTTTTTACCTTTAAGATTAACCCGTCTTGTGATCTCACGAATAAGCACAGGAGCTAGTCGCTTCGATCTCAACTTCTTATGCACGCACAGGAAGTTTATCTCAACCATCTCTACAAAATATTGATATTGTTATTATGTATATTTTTAGCTTCGGGGGTAAATATTATATAACCCCCCCCCCCCGCACTTTTTCACAAAAAATTATCTAATCTTCAGAACTTTTTAATCTCCCTTTGATATTGTTCTGAGAACAAATAAAGTCAATATTCTGCGATAAAGTTTTCGTTTTGCGGAAAAATTTCCTAAAAATTGAGTATGGGGGGTTGAAAAAAAAAGAAAAAATCTTACTTTTATCCTTTTGATACATTCGTACGTGGGCCGGTACAGCAGAGATAAAACCGACCATCTTGTTTGATTTTGTTGCTCTAGATAAATAAAAAAATAATTTTCAAAAAATTGTTCATCTCATACTAGGAACCATAATGATCTGTTATGTTTCTGTAAAAGAAACTATGAAAAACACGCCCCGCCGGTCTTTGGAAGTCTCAGCTTTTATCATTAAGCAGAAAAGTGACAGGCTACGGTTAAATCATGGTTAATTTTTTTTAATTCGGTGATGGTAATGGACCAAACCTCTGTAGAGTAAAAAAAGTGAATGTTAGTTCCACATTTATTGAAAACATATTTCGGTCTGGGTTGACCCTCGACAGTTCTAACGATATAATAATCATCAAAATCGATAAAAAAATATTAAAAAATTGTTAAAAACCACATTATATCATTATTAATATTTTAACGAATTATATCATTTTTAAAGTTTTAGCGATTTTTCCTTATTTAAGATATAAAAACGTTTCATTTATTTAATTATTTTCGTTATCCAGAGCCACACAAAGTTCATAAAAAATCCTTTAAATTTTGGATAAATAAAATTTTAGCACATGTTTTATTTAACTGTTAAAATTTTGTCACTAGTAAATTAAATTCTGAAAGTGTTTGTCAGAGTTCCATGAACGATTGAGGACAATGACCGTGAAAAAATGGCTAGAAAACAACCGCGTCGAACAAATTTCAGCCATTTTTAAGCTCGTCTTTACTTTTCAACTTCTAAAAACAATCCCTTTAAAGTTTACCTGACTCCGCAGTGCCAATCCTTGACCCAGCCTGGAGGTTGCAGTGCCCAGTTTATAAACTCAGGACTAGTAGGGTTAATATATATTAGAATACTTTAGAGACAGGGACAGAATATAATGAATGAGAGAGGTCGCTGAACTACCTACCGCCTGGAGTTCATCGACCTCTTAAATGCATTGACTTCGGTCCCAGATTACTTTATGTCAAGCTGTTAAATTCAAATATGATTAAATATAAGGTCATAGCATACCTAGGTTAACCTTTTTCAAATTCCCATTTCCATTAGTATTATGCCAATACATAAGAAAAAATGTTGATAATACCAATGCAGCAGGTGAGCATAAATTACCTGTAATCAAATCTGAACATATTATCATCATCTTCAACATAATTCTCGTTCAGCAAGACATACACCTGCATTAAAACAACTGTTATTTTCTAATGACTTGGAACAAAATAAAAAAGATAACTATAAAACTAACAAACCACAATTTTATCGAGAGACTGACAAGCTCAACAAGAAACTGTCAATATTACCCAGAGACTGGCAAGCTTAACAAGAAACTGGCAATATTACCCAGAGACTGACAAGCTTAACAAGAAACTGGTAATATTACCCAGAGACTGACAAGCTGAACAAGAAATTGATAATATTACCCAGAGACTGACAAGCTTAACAAGAAACTGGCAATATTACCCAGAGACTGACAAGCTTAACAAGAAACTGGCAATATTACCCAGAGACTGGCAAGCTTAACAAGAAATTGATAATATTACCCAGAGACTGACAAGCTTTACAAGAAACTGGCAATATTACCCAGAGACTGACAAGCTTAACAAGAAACTGGCAATATTACCCAGAGACTGACAAGCTTAACAAGAAACTGGTAATATTACCCAGAGACTTACAAGCTCAATAAGAAACTGTCAATATTACCAAGAGACTGACAAGCTCAACAAGAAATTTGCACAAAACAGATAAAATCCTTAAAAAAACTGACACAGGAAGACTTGTACAATTAAAAATAAACATCGACAAAATTGTGCGTTTCAAGTTTGATTTCAAGCTGTGAATAGTAATACCTCCTTCAGAACAAGTGGATCATCAAGGTTCAAAGTGTCCCATTTAAACCCTTGAGGTAGAGAATAAGGTTCTGCTCTCACCTAGAATATAATTGTTAAATGTAGTTACGTTTTCCTAAGTATAGATTTTAGTTTAACGAAAAAGGGTTAAAAAGATTTCATTTAAAAAAATCTTTAAAAATATAAATAAGGTTAAGGAAATAACCTCTACTTTCTTTCATCTATTGTCAACTTTACGAAAAGATCATATGATGCTAAGTTAAATAGGGGTTTTTTATCTAAAAAATGCTTCCCTCTGAAATAAAAAAAAAATTAAGAGAAAACCAAACTTAGTTTTAAAAATTACTTGATTAAGTATGCAAGCTATAGAATTCAATTTAAAAAATTATACCCTTTTAGCTTGTAAATTTGTACAATAGTTAACAACTATTAGTTTCATCGAAATATCTGACATAAAAGAATTTGTTATCTGATCAAAAAGTGGATCTGGATTGATTATGAAATGTCAACCTGATCTTTTTTTGGATCTGGATTGATTATGAACGGTTTACATGATCAATTTGTGGATCTGGATTGATTATGAACGATTTACCTGATCAATTTGTAGATCTACATTGATTATAAACAATTTACCTGATCAATTAGTGGATCTGGATTGATTATGAACTGTTTACCTGATCAATTAGTAGATCTAGATTTAATTATCAACGGTTTACCTGATCAATTTGTGGATCTGGATTGATCTCCTCGTTACAGGTGATCACCTAAACACAAAATAATTGATCTATAAATTGACCAAAGAAGAGAAATATTCAACACAACTTTAGAAATTTCGTTTTATCTACATCATCTTTTATTTTTCAGGACACTAATTGGAGGATTTTTTAAGATGTACTTTTTTACAAGGAGGCACTATAGTCATTTAAATTATGCATTAAGCTTGAATTAATGTTGTATATTGTATAACCAATACCTCATGCAGTCCGGGAACAGGCTGAGTAGACCAAAACTGATATTCCTTATGGTCGTCTTTACTGCCCCCACTTCCTGAAACAACAGGAAATATGTTTTCAAGAAGCTTTATGGGCATGTCATAATTTCCATTTTCCATTTGTTTACGAATAGAATTTTAACTCCCCCNTTGGATATCAATGTTTATAATTTTGAAAACTGATTATTTTCCCACCGATCAGGCCTAAACGTATTCCTATGACTCACATAATCCCGAGAAAGGTTCATGGCTCGTCAAAATTAAAAAGTTTGGCCTAAAATGATTTCGATTTTTTAAAAATGTTTTAAATCCCCTAGTTTAACAGAAAATCCACAAAAATCTGATCATTTCCTCAAATTTTACAAAAAGCTCACAGAAAGATTGGCAACAAATACCTGAAAATACTATCAGAAAGATAGGCGTCGTAAAACTCGTATTTATATTTATACTACTTGAATAACTAATACTAATAATAATAGTAATAATAAGTGTCAATCCTTCAATCTAAGATTTCAGGCTTGAGCTCCCTTCCGTTTAAGTTCTAATAAATTAACCCAGATAAGTGCTAGGGGTGGGAGACAAGCCTATGGCGGTATGCCATCGATAAAGATAGTAATGAAGAAGTAGATAATTTCATTACCCTTCTGACTATTGAGAAGCTCCATTGCTTTTCTCAGATTTTCAGTCTGCTCCGGGGTCAAGGCAGGTACACCGGGCTAAACACAGATACAGGGATATATATTTTCTGAAAATATCAATCTCCCCAAACTATCTTCCTCATTTTTTCTCCTAGCATGTTAGGTATTTTAACGCTGAGACAATAAAAATTTTCTTATATCGTTAACAATCGTTCCCATGCTCTATCATTGGGCAATGGGCATGCAACCAAATAAAAAGAAAATAGCCCAACTTAAGAAATTTTCTACGCTGGATTCAAATCCGAGTCGTTTTTTTTTACAAGACGATCTGGATCCGCATGCGAACTTAACAGATCCTCAGCAGGTGTGCAAATGTGCATCCCATTTATGTCATTTCTTAAGAAATAAATAGGCCCCTATCTAACTTTTCTCAATAAAGACTTTCTTATCGTAACTAAGTGAAGATGAGCATTCAAAATCTGCCGAACTCATTTTTAATTTATTCGTGTTATTGTTCCGGCAAACCCGTTTCTATTTGGTATCAGATTCAAATTCTATGCTTAGTTTCGTTCTCACAAAAATCACCTGAACAACCTCAGCAATTTTAGGTTTCTTCTCCTTCTTTTTTCCCCCTTTCCTTGCCGCTGCGCCGTCGACATTGTCTCCGTTCTTTTCTGAATCTGCCATTTTTTAGTCTGAAAATAAAATCTTTTCAACGCAATCAATTAATCGATAATTGCAGGTAACAACACGTTAGAGTATAAACAAAAATTACAAATTGTTTTTAAACAATTTTTTTAACGAATTAATCTTACTGCTTTAGTCTATTAATTTTTACTCTTTCCCGTAAATGTGACAGTATACTTTAGACGATTTTTTTTTATTCATTCTTTGATATGTTATTAGCAGTCGTAAACTCGGAATGCCCATTGAATTTAATGTTCCTCGCTCCATTTAGTTTTTATCAGTAGAAAACAATCAACAGAAATTAGAAATTACTTTGTGTAGAAGAACAAAATAGGGATTTAAACTAAAATGCTGTGATACTCTAGCATATGCCGATGTAAATTATCCACATTCTTTACAGTAACACTACACTCAGGACATCTAAATGAAAAAGGATAAGTTGGAAAAACAAATCATGTATAATTTTCTTGCATTCAAGTGCAAGCAAATTTAATTTATGAAACTATTGTGTACTTAATCATTCTTACGCACTTCATCGTGAATTTCATAATGAACGTGCTATAAAGTAATCATCGTGCTAAAAGTTAAATTAGCTGTACATTATGGCACGTGTGCTATGAAGGTTTGATTGGTTCCCGGATTTTCTCCAAAAAAACTAGGATATTTTCAAAATAATTTTTTTCAATTGTAATAAAAATAAAATTGAAATTAACTTTTTTTTTACTTCTGCTTTGTTTCAAAGCTTATTTGATCTTTAGAAATAGTTATTGAAATAAGACAAGTACACAAAAGTTTCAAAAACTTACCTATTTTGGCACGACGTCCTATAAAATTTTTGGACAGAAATTTTCTCTTTATTGAGAAGGTGCAAGCCTCTTTAGATTAAATTGTGTCCCGAGCTCGATAAAGAGAAAATTTCTGTCCAAAAACTTTAAAACACTGCGAACCAAAATAACAGTGTTATAAATAATTATTATTAATTAAAGGGAAATGCTAGTATTATTTTTTAATAAGGCCAAAAATATAAAATTTCTGACTGACCCAATGGTTCTGATATTTAAACAGCTTTCTGAACTCTCTATAGGCTCAGGTAACAAAAGTTCTACTTCCCATTCTCGGCCCTAAAATATTTTTCAAATATTTCAGCATATCTATGATCATTTTTTGTTACCACAGGCAGTGCTAGAAATGTTCCCAATAAGTAACGATAACACAGGTTATTATTTTTTTTTGCAGGCATTAAAGTACTCTTTAACTGTAGAAAAATAACTGAAATTTCAAAAAGAGGTCAAAAAGAAAAATTACAGTAAGCGTAAACATACCAGAGTTCAAAATAGACGACATACCTTATTTTTATGCGTGAGAAGATGTCTGTTGAGATAATAAACCCCGACGAAAGTTTTGTCACAAAAAGAACAACTGAATTCTTTTGAAGAAGAATGGTTTTGCTTGATGTGTTTTGCCAGGTTAGAGCGCTGAGTGAATCCTTTACCGCAAGTATCACATTTATGCGGCTTCTCTCCCGTGTGAACTAGTTTATGTTTATGTAAATAATGCTTGTGACGAAACCCTTTTTGACAAATATCACAAACAACTGTATTCACTTTACTGTGTGTCAGTAAGTGTCTTGCCAAGATTGACTGCTGTCGAAACGAATTGCCACACTGATCACATGTAAATGGTTTTATATCGTCATGAATTGCTTTGTGTCTCTTTAGACATTCTAAACTTGTAAATGTACGTCGGCAGATGTCACATTCATTCTTACACACGTGAGATGAACGTGCTGAAGTGGAGTTGAAAAGGACTAAGCAGATGCTACAGAAAAACTGCTCATGCTCTGTCTTCTGGTGAAGCTGTAAAATAAAAATAATCAGACAAAAGGTCATGTAGCTTGCAGGGGGGGGGGGGGTCGAGGTAAGGAATTTCAAAGCAAAGAAGTCAATTTAAAAATAGAAACTATAGAATCTTTAGAATCTTAAAGTATAGTTTATTTTCTTTTTTTGTGAAAATACTTCTTTTGAATTTAAAAATACTTGCCTTCAGTGCTTTATTAGTTCTGAACTCAGTTTTACAATCTTGGTGAGAACATTCAAGTTTTAATTTCTCCGTCGCAAATAAAGAACTTTTAACTAAAATATTTTCTTTATTAGTTTTATTTTCTAAGTTAATGTCTTTGATCTGATCACTATTTTCTAGAGGTTCGCTTATATCAGTCGTTAGAAAAATGCTTTCTGTGTTTAAGAGCGTTGCATCATTGCAACTTTCATCATGGAAATTTGTAAAATTTAAAATTAATTCTTCAGTTTGAGTATCTTGTCCATCTATGATGGAATTTATACTAATAGCCTCAGACTGATTTATAATGTCTGGTGTTAACACTTTTAAAATCAATTTGTTGATGTCGGTAAATATTTGATCTTGAATTGGAAGGATGAGTTGGAATTCTTCCATTTTATTTTCCAGGTTCAATACCCGCAGATAAACTACAAACATTTTTTCCATCTGAAATTAGGAAAATGATGAAACCTTCTTTTTAAAAGTTTAACGAGGAATAATTTAAACCGAATTATATTCCCAAAACTTAATTGTATTGTTGTTTCATAATTATGCAAAATGATAATATGATATCCCGTGAATTTAGCCTTGAGATGAGTTAAAAGTGCAAAATTTTTATTCCATTTAACCATCTTTACAACATCATTTGTATATCTATCTATTTATCATTTTATCAAAAATTTAAATATTTTTTAATTTATTTTGCTGCACAACAAAACCTTTCCAATTAAAAAAAGTTTTTAAAAGTTGGTTGGTAAAAACGAATGAGAATTCACAGACCACCAAGTAATTAAACTTCAACCCATAAATCCAATAAAAACTGAAGTTCCTTCTTTCATAAACAAATACGTGTACTTTTCTCAAATATTGCTGCCCCCTGAGAATGAATGAACACAAACTTTGTTTTGATACAACTCAAATCAGAGCAACACTTCTACTCTACGAGTAAACATGGTGAGCTTAAATTTGTTGAGCTACCACAAAAGCTGATAAAATGAAACAAATAATTCAAATCATAAGCCATTTCAACCTTTTCTTTCCCTATTTTCAACCAGAAATTATTTAATAACATTTATATCTTTATAATTTTTTAAATATCTTTATGATGTGCATACCTTTTCAAATTGATCTTTTATCAAAAAAATATTTGAAAGGTTAGAAAGACAACCCAAAGTAACATTTCAATCAATTTCCATTTCAACACGCAACACACTTTTTTAGATTCCCATTTAGAACATTTTTAAGGGTGTATACGCTTTTCTTTACTTATTCTAGCAATTTTAGATTTTTTCCATCCTCTTCGCATTGGTACAAGTGCAATCATGCTTTGGCTGGTCAAGTGAAGAAAATTTTAATCCCTATCTAAATCCCATCTATACCTGGCTGTATTCGGATGTAAGATGTCAGCCGTACTACCTGGAACATACAGAGAGATACTTCTGTACTGATGACGGTGTATATACCTGTGTACATGGATGGACTGGAGATAACTGTGATGAACCTGTCTGTGCTAACGGATGTGTAAATGGTAAATGTGTTGCCCCGGATATTTGTAGATGTGATATGGGATATCAAGGGGAAACCTGTCAATCATGTATCCGGCATCCAGGCTGTAAGCATGGAACATGTGAAAGGGCGTTTGAATGTACATGTGAAACAGGGTGGCAAGGGCAGTTTTGTAATATTGCTGAATGTACTGAAGGGTGTGATCCTGATTTTGGATATTGTGATTCCCCTGGTGAATGTCTCTGCAAGGCTGGTAGTGGAATGGAAGGAGCAAATTGTACAGAATGTATTACCAGAGAAGGATGTAAACATGGGTCATGCGAACAACCTGGAGAATGTAATTGCGATGATTTCTGGGAGGGGCCCATGTGTGACCAACATGTATGCAGGGATGGATGCCACCGAACACAGGGCTACTGCAAAGAACCAAACACCTGCACATGTTTGGCTGGATGGGCAGGACACAACTGTACAGAATGTGTACCGTATCCAGAATGTAACCTGAACAACACAGTTGCAGAAGGAGCTTGTATCAACCCTTGGGAGTGTTTGTGTAAACCCGGGTTTGCAGGAAAACTCTGTGATCAGCCAGCGTCTACCCCTCAGGAGATAACTGTAAGTGCAGCGGGAATTGTTGCCCTTAAAACATCTTCTATGACAACTTGGTAATGGGTGTGACATCAGGTGGTCAAGTATGTGATCGATGAATTACAGCATGTATTTGACACGAACATGTAATACAAATTTCAAGCATTCATTTCTTTAAATATTAGACTCAGCCGTGTGTGTGTTAGTATATTCATTCTATCCCGCACTCCGCAGCGACTCGGTCAAGCTATGGGATGAGTGCAGCAGGTAGGATAGATTTAGGGAACGGGCTCTGTGGCCACACATAAAATAGGCTGTGTGTCACATTTAAAATCCACGTACAAAATTTATATATTCAGATATTAGAAAATTAACGATTCTGAAATAAAGTTATATTAAGTTAAGACACTTTCTGGGCGGAGAGCTGCGGCCGCATGTCTTACATTTAAGATCCCGGGGGGCGGTCCAAAAATCGTTCTCTAGAAAATTACCTTGATAGGAGCGAGAGGGGGGCTTCGGGGGATCAAAAAATCGTATATTATTCAATTACCCGAATTATGACCAAACCCCCATTTGCTAATAAAGGGCGAATCTGTCCCCGCATACATAAATAATTTTAATTTCTACAATGATAAAAATGGTTGTTAGAACGGTCTGGTCTAAATAACAATCGCGTCAAAAAATTTCAACATAAATCACAAGTATATGAGTCATAATAGTAAAAGTCATAAAAGTATCTTAACCTAACCTAACCCTAAATAACAAAAAAATAAATAATAATAAATTTGCTGAAAAATAATTTGCAAATTTATTATTGGGGGGGTCCAAAAATCGTATACTAGGACAGACCCGAAGCAAACCTGAATTAAAATCTTTGATACTAAAAGTTTAAGGATTCCGAAAAATACCGGAAAATGTAAAAGCGCTAACTCTGGAGAATGCCGCAAACATACGCAATTCTCTACTACTACTAAAATTTTGATCTAAGACGACCAAAGCGATATCAGAGGCCGTTTCTTCTATAAACTACATTTGTCCGTCAAATGTACGGAGAAATATCTATCTATGGAGAGATAAAAATTTAGGTGGTGTATTTTTCGACCTACGCATATCATCTACACTTCTGACCTACTTGCAAGTGGTTTTCCAGCTGCTTTTAAGCTACTGTAGGTCTGTTAAACCATAGATCAGTTGCCCCAATTAATTCAAAAAACTTTTGTTTGATCCGACCTATAACTGCAGGTCGGATGTACACATTACATTTGTAGGTCGGATGGTCATCGATTGTAGGTCGGATATATTCCTTTGTAGGTCAGATGCACACGTACATTTGTATGGTCGTATGGTCATCGATTGTAGGTCGGATTTACACAACTGTAGGTCGGATATGCATTTGCAGGTCGGATGTACACATTTGTAGGTCGGATGGTCATCGATTGTAGGTCGGATTTACACTTTTGTAGGTCAGATGTATGCATTTGTAGGTCGGATGGTCATCCATTGTAGGTCGGATTTACACTTTTGTAGGTCGGATATATGCATTTTTAGGTCGGATGTATAAACATTTATAGGTCGGATGGTCTATATATAGATTGTAGGTCGGATTTACATTTTTGTAGGTCGGATATATGCATTTGTAGGTCGGATGTACACATTTGTAGGTCGGATGGTCATCGAATTGTGTGGGATTTAAACTTTAGCAGGAGCTAGTGGGGGAAGCGGGGAAGACTTCACAGCAGATTTTACTTTTGTACATGACCACTTTTTCAACAATTTTCAATTAAACTAGTATTTATTTTATGGTTAGGTTAGGAGGTTAAGACACTTTCTGGGCCGAGTGCTGCGGCTAGGAAAGGCTAGGGGGGGCCGAGCGCTGCGGCCACGGGTTTACAGGTTAAGTTATGACACTTTCTTTAACTACAGATTTAATAACAATTAAGAAATAATCATTTATAAATTCTGAAAAAAAAAAAAAAACATTAAAATACATATATAATTTAAATCATCATACATGGAAAAAGGACAGATAATGTTACGTTTTCTCCTGAAGTTATTGAATTTATGATTGATCATTCTAACCAACATTCATAATCTTATTTCCTTTTCTTCGATTTTATAGAAGTTCTTTCAAAGAAGATAAACAGGTTACAGTTATCAAATATGATAATCAGTTAGAAATTTGCAGTTCAGTCTCAGAATGTTCTCTAGATTTGGAACTTCGAGTTTTTGCCACAAACTCAAAAATTCTAATCCCTAAATCTTTCCACCGAGTGGTGTAAACCTTTGATATTTCAAACTTAAAATATTTTACCAAAATAATTCAAAGTTTGAATACAGTTCGGAACTTTTTTACATTAAATGTTTACAATACAATAGCCTTTAGCCTTGAAAATTCAGAAAGATAAAAATATTGTTTTTGAACTAACCATAGAAGAATACCATTTCTACAAGAATTCTTTTAAGGTTTTATAATTCCTGGCTCCTGTGATAATGATATTCACCAATCTTTCTTTTCCTTCTGCAGGAGGGGCGCGCCCCCGCCCCCCCCCTCTCAGGTGATATAAGGGGAGGGCACGCGCCCGGCCGCCCCCCTAGTTGCGCCTGTGCTAATTTCTAAAATTTTCTTGTCGTCAATGTAGTATGTTAAGATCTTAAATAAATCTAATATGGAAATGACATTATTTGGAAATAAAAATGTATTCTTCAGTGTCCATACCCTTTTTTATGTGAAAAAAAAACATATAATTGTAATGACATTGATTATTACTTTAGAATTTAGAATCATTTAGAATATGTTGACTTAAAATCTGAATTTATTTACGCCACTGCCACCCAGAAAAATTATATGGTTTATACTATAGTTAACAAAAAAATTGAAGTTCTATAAACTTGGAATAATTTACGGCATTACACCAGGAATATCTGAAAATGCGCGTAAAAAAGGTGAACATTTTTAAAGACATTAAAATTGAAATCTTTAATAAAATTAAAACTTTTTTTTCGATTTACAAAAATTTGATATTTCATTTATGCCCTAACGTGGCTTGAATCTTAAAAAATAGTTTTATCTGGAAGGATATTAGACACTCTAAAAAAATAATATTGAAAGGACGAGGATTTCGAGGTGGCTCGGAAGAGAAAGTGAGGAGAATGTGACTCGGACGATAAATTGTTGTGGTTGGCCTTCCTCCCCTCGCTCAATTAGCTTCGTAAATTTCTGTCACAACCTGTACGACTTGAATCCGAAATCGTCCGAATTTAGCACATCTGAGATGGAATTTAAAGAATTTGAGCCGCGGTTTAAATCCGGCAAAACCCGGTTTAAATTAAGCGCCGGCTTAAATCTTGAAACATTTGATACAATTTTAAGTGGAACCAACCATATTTAAACCGCGGCTTAAATTTAAACCGCCGCTCAAATTCTTTAAATTCGGCCACTGAAGACAGAAAAACTATGTTGCTCTGTGAACACTGGATAGTTTCCTTTTTTAATCGGATGCAAAAGCTTAACTTTTCAATCGTGGGCCTTTACTTGAAAACTGAAGTTATATTTAATGGATTAATAGACGAGATTAACGAGAATGGATAAATAGACGAGGAATAGACGAGATTAACGAGACTGGATAAATGGACGAGTTTACAATTAATTGTATTTAATAATGAAAGCTCTTAAATTTCTTATATTTTTCATGGTTTACATAGTATTCTTTATAAATTAATTTGAGATCCAACAATCCAGCCCCTTCATTTGAGATCCAACAATCCAGCCCCTTAATTTGAGATCCAACAATCAAGTCTCTTAATTTGAGATCCAACAATCCAGCCCGGTAATTTGAGATCCAACAATCAAGCCTCTTAATTTGAGATCCAACAATCCAGCCCTTTAATTTGAGATCCAACAATCCAGCCCCTTAATTTTAGATCCAACAATCCAGCCCCTTAATTTTAGATACAACAATCAAGCCTCTTAATTTGAGATCCAACAATCCTGCCCCTTTAATTTGAGATCCAACAATCCTGCCCCTTAATTTGAGATCCAACAATCCAGTCCCTTAATTTGAGATCCAACAATCCAGCCTCTTGATTTGAGATCCAACAATCCTGCCCCTTAATTTTAGATCCAACAATCCAGCTCCTTAATTTGAGATACAACAATCAAGCCTCTTAATTTGAGATCCAACAATCCAGCCCCTTAATTTGAGATCCAACAATCTAGCCCCTTAATTTGGGATCCATAAATCAAGCCTCTTAATTTGAACAAAACATGAAGAATCTGGAACATTGAAAATTTTTGAATTAATTAATTTTTAAATGGGAGTTGTGATGGAAATATTCATAACTTGATTAGCTATTAATACGCTTACGGGATTCTGAATTTTGATGGGAACAAATATAAATTAATTAATGAATGGATGAATCCTCTGTATATCCAGGATGTATATCCTGTGAGCCAGGATGTTAAATATACACCTATACCGGTCTATCCATCTATCCATAAATCGAGTCTTTTTACAATCTATCCTTCTATCCATCCCTCTTTCTTAAATTCCATTCTTCTTCCACCCTACCTTCTTGTATTATAACCTTTTCCATCCTTTCTTTTTATATTGTACCTTTCTATCCATCCTTCCTTCTTATACTCTACCCTTCTATCCTTCCCCTATTCTGACCATCTTCTTTCTTTTTTTCTTGTACTTAACCCTTCTATCCATCCTTCCTTCTTATACTCTACCCTTCTATCCATCCTTCCTTCTTTACTCCACCCTTATATCCTTCCCATATTCTAACCATCTTCTTTCTTTCTTTCTTATACTCAACCCTTCATTCCATCCTTCCTTCTTAACTTCAATCCTTTCTTATTATATTCTATCCTATCCATCCTTACTTCTATCCATTCTTCCTTCTTACATTAATTCTTCTATCCACCCTTCTATCTTACATTCTTGTTTACATTAGTCATTCTCTGCAATCTTTCTTGTTTCCATCTTCTAAAATTTTATAGTTTTTTGATTTTCTTAGAGTTCAGTTTAAAATTATTCTGAAATACAATTTTCAAGATTTTTATCTAGAAATCCATATTTTTCTTTTAATTCTGATATTTCCCTTACCCTGCGCGGCTTTAGGAAACGGAAGTGTGGAGGGGGGGGGGGGGCAGATTATCGCCTGTAG